TTTTTTTTTTTGAGACAGAGTCTCACTGTGTTGCCTGGACTAGAGTGCCGTGGCGTCATCCTAGCTCACAGCAACCTCAAACTCCTGGGCTCAAGTGATCCTTCTTCCTCAGCCTCCCAAGTAGCTGGGACTACAGGCATGCGCCACTATGCCCGGCTAATTTTTTCTATGTATTTTTAGTTGTCCAATTAATTTCTTTCTATTTTTAGTGGAGACGGGGTCTCGCTCTTGCTCAGGCTGGTTTTGAATTCCTGAGCTCAAACAATCCGCCCGCCTCGGCCTCCCAGAGAGCTAGGATTACAGGCGTGAGCCACTGCGCCCGGCCCAGGGCTGAATTTTTTGAAGGGTGTTGTTCTAGTTCTTTGGCTCCTGACTAGGAAGAATCACAAGCAGGGCCGGTGCGATGGAGTGATGACAGACACCAGCACTTCCACACAAGCAGCTTTTGTTGCAGGCTTTTCAGTACAGAAATAGAAAGCAAAAGCACGTTTCCTGAGGGGAAACAGGTGTATCTCTGCCAGTGTAGACCACCTGGGTCTTACCAGACTTCTACTTTTATGTCTTCACCTTATGAGATGCTAACTTTGGGTGGAATATGCATTATTTTCCTGGGAAAAGGATGGAGAGTTCTTAGAGCTAAAGGCCCTCCCCATTTTTATCCTTATAGGGTAACTTCCTGGAGTTGCCATGACATTTTTAAACTGTCCTGGTGCTAGTGGGTGTGATTTTTACTATGCCAATATATGTTAATGGAGAAAAGGTCACCTTTGGACATGAGCTCCTAGTTTCTGCACATGCTCCTGACTGGGAAAAGTCCCTAACCTCAAGTTCCCGCTGTTGCGAGTTAGGTTCTAAACGTTCATTGGCCTCTTCATTTTTGGCCCCCTCCTCTTTGCCTGTGGTTGATGCTGCCCACCTACACCTGTCCCTAAAAATCCCAGCAGTCTTAGTCATGTAACTTAAAGTGAAGTCCTTCAGGGGTGGCTGTCTCACTTTCCTGGGCCTTGTCCCAACGTCCCTCTGCTGAGAATACATGAGGGAGTGTAGGGTAAGGGTAGCAGAGGAGAGGAGAGAGATGCTCCCTGCTTGCTCTCAGTGTTTCAGTGATGGCGGAGTCTGTAGCCACTCCCTGTGGAGTGACCCTCAGCTACCGGGAATGTCATTCCCAATGGATGGCTCCGTGGAAGTGCCTGCTCATTGTTGCCGACTTTTTTTCTCATTATTTCTTTCCTAGCAACATCTGCTCCACTCTCAAGCTCAATACCTCACTCACAATTCACGCACACTCACATACTCCATGCACGCTCACAGCCCATGCACACGTATCCTTCATTCTGGTTAAGAGCCCTCCAATGATCTGAGTGAGCGCTTAGTGCAGCTGAAGCATAAACGCACACACGAGAAACTGCAGTCTTTGTTCACAAGTTTTACTTTTTTGGTACACATTATTAGTTTTGAAAAAATATAATTAATTTTAATTAGAGGCTATTAATCAATATCTCCCACTTACCTGAGTGAATGTGTACATTAAGGCCATGTAAAGGGAGGGGTGAATTTATTGGCAGATCGTAAAAGGCCTTAGTATCTATTTCAAGTTCACCTGAAGAAAAAGATATTCATTGTCTCCCTGTACAATATAGAAGTGGTTTAAGTTTTCTTTCCAAAATTCGGGGCAACATGCCTCTCTACATTTAAACGATAGTGTCAAATTTTTTTCCCTATGTGTTTTTATTTCTTTTTTTCCCTCCTTTCAGGGTCCCAAAATTGGCAGCTGAAGCCAGGTTGCTTGAGGAATGCAAAGTAGAAAGCACCAAAGGTACTTCAGAATCAATCAAATGTCAAGAGTATTTGTGGCTTATTTGGTCTCCCGGCTTTTTCCTTCTCATGCTTCATTGTCTACTTCTGGTTTATTCTGCATGCTTTGTAGCTAACAGACCATTTCCTGGTCCTGTACTGTTTCTCCGGGTATCAACCACTCCTTATGGTGGGTGGCAATGCTGCATTTGTGCTAGTACTTCTCTTATTGCTGAAGCAGTTTTCTGAATAGTCTCTGCCTTTCTGCTGTTGTATTCAGCTGTCTGGACCAGATAGGTGACAGCCAATTGAATCTCTGAATGTTGACAGAAAGAAGAGGGGTAGCTGCTCAGGGTTTGGGGTAGACAGGCCTCAGTAACTCTGTTCCAAGAATCTTTTTAAAAAATCTCTTTATTGAGATATGACTGACATACATACCAAGAGTCTTGTAGTGTTTACATAAATAAAAAATGATATCTTTGTAATTTCAAAAAGATATATAAGAGATGCCCTCTCCCCTGCAATTTATGTAAGACTTATATCATAAACTTTAGGAAGAAACTGCTGCATAGGTATAGCAATGATATACAGTGTCAGGGAAGAGAAACATAGACCCCAACAGAGGATATTTTGGATCTACAAAAGGCAAAAGATAGTTACCATTAACAGTTATTTTAAATAGATGACTTTCTGTAACCCAAACTGTAACCTTTCATAGTCTTTTGATTACATAAAATACTATTTTTTCTTTCCAGCAATGACCAACTTATAAGCTTCCTAGTTGTCCTGTGGTGAATTTTGTTTTCTGAGAAGAACAAAGTAAAAGGAGTCTTCTTCAGTCTTCACCTGAAATCATATTATTATAGCAAGCAATAAACACAAAGTTGTAAAGTTATTTCTCAGACTAATGTTATATATCAACTGCTCACAAAATTAAGCAACCATGATTAATTCATTCTGTCAGCATCTTTTGCTCACTGCCTGTTCCTTCCCTGCTCCATGGAGGCCAGAACAAGAGTCCTCTTAGATCCTACTTTTGCCACTATGGGAAAGGAGCTGGGAGCTGAGTGAACGCACCTTTATTCCTACAGCTACTGCTACTACCAATAGCTAGCATTTGACTGTTTTCAATGTGCTAAACATTGTTCTAGGTACTTTTATTGCATTATTTCATTTCATCCTAACAACTCTACGAGTAGGTATCATTCTTATGTCCACTTTACAATCAGGGAACCTAAGACTTGGGAGATAAACTAATCAGTTCAATGTGATACAACTAATTGGCAGAACCAAGGTTTGAATTTGGGTCCTCTATTTCTGGGACGATATTCTTAACTGGTATATAGACTACCTGTACAGGTGTGGCCATTTTGTATGCCTTACAAAATTTGTTATTCAGAGAGGGGTGGAGCGTCCAAGGCAACAGTGACAGTGGGGTTTTTCGTCCTCCATTCCATGCTCCAATTCCTGTTATGTTGGAGCCATAAATGCTTGGCAGTGATGTCAAAGGAGAGGAGAACTCAGGAAATAAAAACTGGTCATGGGCTCATAGCCTGGTTATCCTGACTGTTCTCTAAACTTCTAAGGTTTTTAGTGTTTCAATGTCTAAAATCAAAGATGATAATAATTTAATAGATAACACATGAGGACATTCCCAGAATTCTTTTTGGTATAGTGTTTAGAGCATAGTCTTTGGGATTCTCATTCATTTATTCGACAAGTATTTATTAGAGCCCTACTGCATTTCAGACATTCGTGGACACAAATGGGAGCCAGACAGACATGGTTCATGCATCTTGCTGAGCAGGGGAGAGGGACAGTAAGCAAACAATCACATTTTGATGCGCATAGATCTGCCGCATCCCTGCTGTGGCTGCGCATTGCACAGGTGCTCTCTCTAAGTTGAAGATGTGGAGTGAGAAGGGGGTGGGGCCTTCAAATTCCTGCTGATGGAAACTTGCTGTAGGGCCTCAGACATGTCCTTCAAACCCTATGACTTCCGTTTCTTTGTGTAGCGTGGGCGAATAATCACATCACAAAGGCTTTAGAGAAATGAATTAAATTAATGTATAAAGTACTTAATACATTGGCCAGAAGGTATTAGGTATTCAATTGATAAAGCTATTTCGTCCTTTTACCATTTTCTCCAAACACTCCTATCTACCCATGAGGATAACAAGAAAGAAAGTTTTACCTAAACGGTAGATAGTAGGTTTAGCAAACAGAAGTGAAACACAGCACAGTGTGTTAATTCAAGTTCACGCCTAGTAGTGGATTCTGTTATGTGTTCAATGCTGTGCTAAGAGCAGCAGGAGACACAGTATCTACAAACCCAGGGACCCAGGAACCTGCTGTCACCACAATGGCTCTATTATCACGGGGAAGCTGCCACGCAACTCTTTCTGTACTGCTATCCCAGAGAACACACTCGCACAAGCAGGTAGCCAGTGTGGTGTGAGGAAAAGAATGAGAAGAGTGATTTATTCAAAAGGCTTACTTTGCCTGGAGAAGAGAGGGTTTGGAGTGAGTGCAAGTCAAACTTACTCTGCATTACTTGACCAGAACTGGTACCAATGAATAGAACGTACCTGGATTGATGCAGGAAGAATTTTCTAACATTGGAGTTGCTTGTAAATGAGGTACATCTAATGGTGCAATAGTGAATGCCGAGACTGCATGTGCATGAGTGGTCGCCATCCAGGTATTTGGTGGGGTACAGGGATCCAGTCCTGGTCGTTTTAAGGTTCCTTCAAATTCTGTTTCTATGACTTGGCCAAGAATTACATTTTCTATAAAAACAATACTTACTAAAAATCATCACTGTCTCTTACACTTGTATACCTTCCATTTTTTATTTTAACGGACAGCCTGAAGAGCTTATTTTCTTAAAGAGCAAATTCTGCGGTAGCGTATATTGAATGGGATCAAAAAACCCACCCCCTGGCCTTTGCTTAAATAATCCCCACTGCTTGTCCATTCTGTGGTCTGGAATTGCACCATTAGTTAGGAATAAATGTAACCATTAGTTACATTTTCAAGAATCTCTTACTAATTGCAAATGTCTGAGAGGAAGCTTCTTGTGGAAAATTAATTTTGGCTGATAATTTTTTTTTTAAAGGAAGAATTAGTTTAGTGCATAAATAACAGTTTTTTCCCTTCAGTGCTAACTCCAATCAATGGATAGTGGCTGTCCTACAGCATTGTGCTGTGGATGGTCTAAGACTGAGCCTAGGCTCAGAGAGAGGCATGGGGGGGGGGGAGAGAGAGAGAGAGAGAGAGAGAGAGAGAGAGACAGGGAGACAGAGAGACAGACAGAGAGAGAGAGAGAGAGAGAGATGGGATGAATTAGTATTGTCTGCATGGGTGACAGTTTGGCAGCATTCAAAGGACTTGCCAAAGAATTGGACCTAGTTTAACAGGTACAGTTCTGATAGTTCTAGCAGGCTCAAGCAAGATTTCAAGGGAAGGATGTTAAGGATGCGTGACAGAAGACACACTGAGCATTAGGACCGTTTAAAGGACCCCACAATGGATGATGGAAACCCGCCAAAGATAGCCTTCCCCTGCTGACCTTGGCCAGCTATCACCTAGGGGCATCCATATTCTTCACCATAAGCCGATGCGTCCCAAACATAAATTTTAACAGATTTGTTTTGTTTTTCAGGGAAATACATATTTCTTGCTTGTGATTTTTTTTTCTTGCTTAGAAAACCAGAAATGAGAATAATGAGAATACGTGGGTACCAGGATTGAGTAATGGACTGTTATCCTTAGAGAGTATCTGATCCAAACCCTCCATTTATAAAGGAAAAAACTGAGAACAGGAATAGGTAAAGCCATAACCAATGATCTCTCATTTCCAAAATTTTGGACTTTTCATGTACAGGCTTCTTACAACTGTTATTTAATCAGTAATTACCTGGCCCTAGACCCAGAACTGGATGATAGCAAAGCAGACAATAGCTGAGGGACATAGGGGACCTCAGTTTTCACCATGAGCTCTTGGGTGGTGTGAGCTCTGAAGTCAGACAGACCTGAATTTTTACTTGTGAGTTTATGAGTAATTTACATGACCCTGAGTCTTAATTTCTCATTCAAAAAATAATAATATTGTTGTCTATCTGAAAGTCAAAGTACCAGAACCACAGCAAGCACTCAATAAATTAGGTCCTATTCTTTTGGGTTTGCTCCCAATGCTTGTACTCTTAACTCCCCCAGGAACTTGAACCTTAACCATTTATTTAATCTGCGGTTGTACATGTTTACCTTTTCCTTTATCTTGCCACTTTAGAACTTTGTACATGTCAACAAGCATTTCCAAGAAATGAGTCATCGTGGATCAACATTTGCCAAAAGTGTTTATTGATTACTTATCGCAAGGCCTGCATGTCATAATCTTGAAAAAACAAGTAAATTGACATGACTTGTTTTAAAATCCAGTATTCATTAATGAGTATAATCCATCAATAATGTTTCTTCATTATCATGAATTTATCAGGGTCATAGTGTCCTGGAAAAAATATTCACCAGAAAAAGGCAAATTGTTAATAGTAATTACTTGAAAAGAATATAAAGAAGTTTTTCATTTCCCTCAAATGATAGAACACTTTCCGTAAAGGTTCATCTGAAATAATGCAGACGGTTGAACCTGTACCTTTTCTTGTGTTCTTCAGCTACTTTAAATGTCAAACTCTTCTGAGAAGTTAACTCAATGCAGACAGAATATCCTATTTACAATTTATATATCCCAGGTATAAGGATGAGATAAATAAGGCATAATGACTACTAAAATTTATGTGGAAAGTCATATTTTTCTCAGAGATCATCACTATTAATAGAGTCATTGAATATTGCTAGACATTAATATTTGGAATGAATATAGAAAGAGAGCTTATTTATGGAGGCTACACATGCAGGAATATCCCACTTTAGGCTTGCTTCCACTCTAAGTGAGAGAATGTGACATTTCAACCATGTATTTGTAAGTGAATAAGCTGTTTCAGATTTATAAATTCAAAGGTCACCAAAGTCACATGCACTAAAAGACATTTGAGTTCTTTCATATGTTCTTGATAAAAGTATTTGATTTAAGCACTTACTTTTTTAAAATCAATTAATTAGAGCTCTTGTACATACTTTGGTACTAAAACATCCCGTATGCATGATATATATAAACACACAAACATGTATGACAAATAGACAGAAGTAGATATTTTTAGGTGAAACAAGGCAGAAAGTTTTTATTAAATATTTTGTCTCAAACTTCTGACCTCGAGCGATCCTCCTGCCTCGGCCTCCTAGAGTGCTCGGATTACAGGCATGAGCCACCGTGCCTGCCCAGAATATTTTGAAAGCACAGAGTATAACCAGGGAAGGAATAAGGCTGTATGTAAAGTCCCAGTTAAGGTTGTCCCAGGAGTCTAAGAAAGGAAGCCCGTGGTGTTAAAAGGGGTTGGTTGCTTCACTTAACCTCAGACCTTTTCCCAGGGAGGGATAGAGCAGTTGGGAATTACTAGAAAGGAAGTGAGAAAAGACCTGATTTCCCAGCAAGCAGAGGAGCTATGGAGGACACAAGAGCTTTGTATTTTAGCTTCCACTCTGATGATGGAAATAGGGGAGGGAAATAGAGCCCCCAAAATGCAGGAAGAGCAGAGTAAGTGGCTCCAGTTTAATTAGAACATTGACCTGCTTACTTGCGACAGAGAGAGTTTACCTAGGGCTCGGTCATCTCAATGTTGTGAAGTGAAGTGTGTTCCGCAGACAGGTCTGTCTATTAGACTGAAGCCGTTGCAGAGGGTCCACGGGTATAGAGGATGGTGGCTCAGGGGGGCCCACCAGTTTCGGAAAGTGTGGTCCTCTGTCTCAAGGAGAGGGCACTGCTCCTTCCAGTGCCCT